TCGTCTGAATGTTGTGAAGGCAAAGATACTGAACTAAGTTTTCAATACTTTTTTATTTTTTTAAAGTGGCACAGAGATTTTTATAATTGCAAAGTTTTAGAAGGAGAGAGAATGGCTGGAGCAGAGAGATGAGATTCATTCTGCATTTTGGGGAATGTCCAAAAATAACAGTGCCATGATGAAGTGCCAAGCCAACAGCAGGCCTGTGATTGCTCTGTAGGAGACCAGAAGCTCAATGAAATAGTCCCAAGTGTCCCAAAAATGCTCTAAGGTTTCCAGGGTGGGGTGTAGAAGATAGGATTTTGGACTTTCCTTTTCTTTTGTCTGTCCCACAGTCAGTCTTTATTAGTGAAGACTAGGATTCATCACCCCAACAGTACATAGGCCAGACACACAACTATCACAAGCTTTGCCAGCAGACTAGGTCCAAAGTTTTCTGTATATGGCTGTGAACTTTATTGGAAATTCTGTTTTATTTACTCTTCTCTTTATTTGTTTCTTGACACAGGCCTGGAGAGAGGCTTAACGAAGGCTTTGAAGAAACTGGATGACTATCTGAGAAATCCTTTACCTGAAGAGATAGATGCAAGTAGCACAGAGGTGGAGAAAGTGTCGAAACGCAAGTTCTTGGATGGGGATGAGCTAACTCTTGCCGACTGCAACCTTCTGCCCAAACTTCATGTTGTCAAGGTGAAAAGAATTTGTCTTCAGAACAGGCACCTATTTGCCACCATTCCTCTCATGGTTTTACATGCTTTGCATTTCCCTGAGCAGTGAGAAGCCTAGGAGAAGGAGCACTACATAAACCTTTGGATGAGAGGGAGATGACTGCAGCCTTTGCTGACTTGTCTTATTTACAAAAGTCCCAGCAGAGCACACTGCAAACATGGCAGATTGCTCAAGCTGGCAGCATAACTGCTAAACCTGCATGAGATCCCCAGGTTCCCTGCCCAAGATTCACAGGTGGGGACCTCCAAGCCACCTCCAGACATGCTAAGTTCACAGCTGATGCTGCTCAAATTCAGTAAGCAGCCTCCATGACTTCTGCCTACACAGGCAGACTGCACCCTGCAGGAAGATTTCCCCTTGAGAAAATATCTTCACCATTGAGCCCATTAAGGAATATCAGCTGATCGCTCTTGATAATTAACAAGCAATCAGCTTAGCAAAGGATGGTCAGCAGTTCCTTGGTGCTCTGACCACACTTAGCTTTCAGTGTCTTACTACTCTGCAGTATCTTTTCGATCAGCAGGATCAGTAGAAACCCAATACACTTCTGGTACTCGGGGTCAGGTCAAAATTTTGATGCCAGCAACATAAAAACCAAAAGGGCACTTCTAACTGAATCAACATGGCACGCAGTCTAAACATACCCAGCTCCCTCAGAAGTCTTGGTTTCCAGACCCTTGACCATCTTGATCGCCCTTGTTTCAGCTTGTCAGTATCCTTCTTATCCAGAGAGCCAGTGTGGTGTAGTGGTTAAGAGCGGTAGTCTCATAATCTGGGGAACCGGGTTCGCGTCTCCGCTCCTCCACATGCAGCTGCTGGGTGACCTTGGGCCAGTCACACTTCTTTGAAGTCTCTCAGCCCCACTCACCTCACAGAGTGTTTGTTGTGGGGGAGGAAGGGAAAGGAGAATGTTAGCCACTTTGAGACTCCTTAAAGGGAGTGAAAGGCGGGATATCAAATCCAAACTCTTCTTCTTCTTCTTCTTCTTAAATTGTGGTGCCGAGAACTGGACATAGCATTCCAGGTGTGGTGTGGTCTAGCCGCAGCAGAATAAAGTGGCACTATGACTTCCCTTGATCTGGACACTAGACTTCTGTAGATGCAGCCTAGAATAGCATTAGCTCCCCCCCCCTTTTTTTTTCTTTTCTTTTGCTGCATCACACTGTTGACTCATGTTAGCTTGTGGTCCACCAAGACCCCTAGATCCTTTTCACATGTACTGCTAGTAAGCCAGCTGTAAGCCACATTAAGCCTTATTATTGTGCATCTAGTTCTTCATACGTAAGTGCATAACCTGACTATTTGTCCCCACTGAAATTCCGTTTTTTAATTGGGCCTGGTTCTGCAACCTATTAAGGTCATTTTGAATCCTGATTCTGCGGCATTTAGTTGCTTCTCCTAGGTTTTGTGTTGTCTGCAAATTTGATGAGCATCCCCTCAATCCAAAATCCACCTAACAATTTCCTCATTCAACCAATATTTTGGCAGCTTCCTCGTATGATGGAACTTGCTTGTTCTTCTCTTGCTTTGAGCATAGACAAAGAAAGCTTTAAAAAATTATCTCTCTTGCAAGTGGGACCTTGTTTTGAGCTTTGGCCCACCTGAGCTCCCCACCGCAACTGTTGGCTTCTGTGTATACTCCTCCTTTGTGATTTCCCCTTTCTTCATTTCATATATACACCCTTCTTAAATCTAAGCTCATCTATAAGCTCCTTATGCATCCACACTGGTATCTTTAGAATGCTCCACTTTTCTTTCTTGTTGAATTATCTGCATTTGGGCCTTCAATATTTCTCCTTTAAGAAACTCCCATCCATCTTGGACTCCCTTCTCCTTGAGTATTTCTGACCATGGATCTCACCCAGTAGCTCCTTCAGCTTTTTGAAATTGGCCTTCTTAAATTCTTTTCTCCTGCCTCTGTATCATGAAACCCAGGAGGACATGATCACTTCCTCCCAGGTTTTCCCAGTACTTCCACTTGCATGGCAAGGCCCCGGGTCCACAGTTCCCTTATATACATGGATAATTTAGGTTAATGGGCTAAAATAGGGCACAACTTATTGGTTACAGATGTGAGCAATTTGACTTAGGCATTGGGTAAGACCAGGCTATATCCTGACTCCTGTCCAATCTGCAAGGAGTCACACTAAGGTAGACATACGTCAAATCGGGGCGTCCCCAATGGGTCGTGGCAGGCCCTAGCCCATGGATCCTTTTAACAGGATGCCTCTTATTGAGGAGGGCAGGCAGAGGTTACAACCTCCCCTCCCATCGCAATAGGCCTTACCTCACAAAGTTGTGACAATTGCTACGAGGTAGGTTGGCTGGTGCCAATTTGCCAAGTGAAAAATTCCTACTGGCCCCAACAACATGCAGCCAACCTTAGTCCATAGCAAAGTCGATGTCATAGCAACGCATAAAAAGAAGGTGGTGGCCTGGGAAATCCGGCAAGGAGGTGAAAGGAACACACACCCCGGCCAGGCCGCATTTAAACGGCAAGTGTCACCCCCCCAGCTGTGCCAATTGTCAGCTGGGGGCGTGGCACGACCGCAGCATCCTCCACCCTCCTGGCGGGTCACTGGGAGGTCCCGGGTGCCCTGCTGTAACACCGCCCCCCGGGGAAGGGGAGTGGACTTCTCCAATTAGTTCTTCTGTTTGTGAGGACCAGGTCCAAACTAAATGATCCCCTTGATGCTTCTTCCGCCTTCTGGGAAATGAAATTGTCAGCAAGACAATGGAGGAATTTGTTGGACCTTTCATTCTTGGCAGAGTTTGCATTCCAACAGATATTGGTTAAAGTCTCCCATGACTAGTTTATCTTGTAGGGCCATCCAAGATCTCCCGATCTCACAAGATCTTGGACAGCGGGGGGGGGGCAGTTTTGTCCATATGTTACAAAACTTATTAATAATATTCAAGTATTAACAGCAGGTTTTTTTGGGGGGGGTCTTCATTCTAGATTGTAACGAAGAAATATCGAAACTATGAGTTTCCAGCAGAAATGACGGGACTTTGGCGATACCTGAAAAATGCTTATGCTCGGGATGAATTCATCAACACTTGTGCTGCGGACAAAGAAATTGAAATAGCTTATGCTGATGTAGCCAAACGGCTCAGCAAATTCTAATCAAAATCTATTTCACTGGATGGCTGGAAATAAACTTATCTGCTCCCTCGAGAAAGTGCAAGGTGGAAATGCAGAAGAGGAAACATGACTTCTGAAATGTGTACTAATTCGCTGGAACAAATTTTATCATTTATGACCAGTGTTTTGAAATCACCATGTTTGATTAAATAGCCTCCTGCTAACAGTACATTCTATAGCTAGAAATTTCAAAGTTAAGTAGAACATGAATGTAAAGAATTATTTGGGTTTGGGGTATTTCTACCTTTTTTCATGGACCCTTGAAGTGTTCTATTTAAAAATACACCGTCAATAGCATTGGAGGGAAAATAGGACTGACAGTAAGAAAGGGAACATTGTCGTGTGGGGAGCATAACTTTAGGGAATTGGAAGCATCTTTCGAAGCATGTCCTGCCCTCCTAGAGCGAGGAGACAGTTCTGAGAGAAGTCTCGTGCTGGTGGGGAAGTCTGAGTGAATGCGGGCGCAGGACGCAGATTTGCTCAGCAGAGGCCCCAGCAGTGGGGATATAGTGAATGCAATAACTTTGTCTACAGACAAGGATATTTGGAGGAGCAATAGTAATACAAAAACAGCGTAGGTAATATTGAAAAGAAACTCGGATAATACTGAGATGGAATTTAGATATATGTATATTGAACGGCTCTTCACAGCTAACTCACAATCTATAGTATCCTTTCGAACATCTCAGCATGTTAAGAAAAGAAGAAGAAGAAGAAGAAGCAACAGAAATCTGATTCCTCATATGAATGGATAAGAAATGGAGTTCATTGTCTATTCCTAAGTCGTCATTTGGTCTAGAAATCCTGAAAACAGCAGTTTGTTTTTTTAAAAAGTTATTCCCCACTGCCAACACTTGGTTGAAGTTTGGCAGGTATATAACTGCTTCCGAGAGTTGGTGGGTTTCTTTGTGCTGACAGAGGGTAACATCCAATTGTAACTTCCCCCTGGGCAGCAGATTCCCCTACATTCTCTCCTACAGCTCCCTGCGTGCTCTTAAAAACTATTGTGGGGGTTGAAGGACCCTCCAGAGCAGATGGGGGACGGGGGTGAGGGGGTGAGGAGCAGGGTTCAGAGGAAGGGAAATTCTGCTGTGTCTGTTGGCATGAAGTTGGGCTTCACCTAAACTGATTTTTATGAAATGATTATTCTGTGCTCGATCTAGCCTTTGTATTAAGAGTTCTGCTTGAAGCCAATGGATATTTTGTTCCATAAATTACTTTAAAAGCATTTATTTATTTATTTATTTATTTATTTAGGTGTTTTAGCTCATATTTCCTAACATTTTGGAAGGCAAAAGGTTTGGCTCTGAATCATATATGAACAAGTCTGCAAGTAGGTTCAACAATGTGTTGCTGGTTCTGCTTTTTTTCTCCACTGCAGTTCCTTAAGCTACACCTTTTTCAAAAAGAAAGAAAAGGAGGACACCCGGTGCTTGCAAAGAGAAGGCAAATATCACATTTTGCCATCGGGTTCTTTAGCATTCCCTGGATCTATTTTGCAGAAACTGGGTTTGCATGGCGAGGTCCCAAACCATCCCAAGATGTAAGAATGAAACCAGTATTTTAGGTTAATGGGCTAAAAAAGGCCACAACTTTATTGGTTACAGAAGGAGTGGTATTGGCTTAGGCACTGGAAGCAAACCGACTATATCTGACTCGCTGCCCGTCTGCAGGGAGTCTCAGAAGGGTTAACCTCCAACTAGGAACTCCGCCAGGGTCACTGCTAGGGGTCGTGCCATGGCCCAAGCCTCCAATCTGGGGTTTGGACAGGGACCAACACCCCTCAGATTCCTTTAACGGAATACCCTTGATTAGGAGGGGTAGGTGATGGCCACTACCCTCCCATCACTTCCAACCAAATACTCCAATCCCTAACCGCCAAACCTTACAAAGTTGTGACGATTTGCTACGAGGTAGGGTGAAAAACCAAATGGCTGGTGCCAAATTTGCCAAGTGGAAAAAAATTCCTACCAGGCCCCTTCAACAGGCGACCAACCAAGATCCATAGTAAGGTCAAGGGATAAGGAGCCTGACCTTAGGGAGGGAGGGTGGGAGAACTGCGCAAGCAGGAAGCAAAAGAGGGCGAGTGCTTGACCGTGGGCGATTTAAATAGCCCAAGCCACGCCCCCAGACCTCATTGGTCGTCCAAGGGATGATGTGGCCGAGGACCCCAATGGTGCAGAGGCTCATCCTGCTTGTGCGCATGGACCGGCTTGTGGACCAACCTGCAACGACATCTCCCCGGGCACAGGAAATGGCTTTGTTGATAGCCATGCCTTGATTTCCCCCATGAAGCTAGCTGCTGCTATTCACGCAAGAATATATATATAGTCTGCCTATTTCCCTGTGATCTTATACTGTTCAAACTCCACTTCTTGTTGTGTTTTTTTTTGCAAATCCAACTATAGCATTTAAGTGGCACTACAGTTTTGACCAAAACCTCTCATTCTCCTCCTTTCTAGCCTATGTGTTCCTCACTTTCAGAGCTTTCTTTCCTGAGAAATACTGAGGCCAATGTGCTTGCACTTTCATTTCCTTGGACACTTTCCCCAACTTTGCCCACTTCTGACCACTTTACTTCCTCGTCTCGCATAATGCCTGCCCCCTTTCCAACACTGCAGCAAATTTGTTGAGAGAATGGTAACAATTATGTGATGCAATCCCACTAATTCAGTTTGCATTGAAGAAGTAAAAATGATTCAGGCATTCAGTTTTTGCAAATTCCAACATGACTAGGCCTGATAGAGATCAAAACATTTGTTATCCTTCAGATTTTGCACTTCTCCAAATTTTGAAGTGCACGTTTCAGATTAGAAATAAAGTATCAAAGTTTTAAAATGCATATTTTTGAGAAAGTTATATAAATATGAATTTAAACATATTAAATGCAAATTGGAAAGAATAAAATCCATGCATTAATGTGGAAATGGACTGAGCAGTCCAGAAATAGACTGATCTTTCTCTTTTTTTAATATAATTTTTATTAACAGGCCAATCAAATCACATTAATTCCAAATCACATTAGTTCCAAATTATACAGCCAAATTTTTAAATTTTGTTGGGGGTACCCATACTTCAAGCTCCGAACGGGGGTCCAAGCATCACTTTTATTGCTGCTTTAATTAAGCAGTTCTATTCAGTTCTATCCGGATAGTCTCTTTATTACTTTCTTCATCTTCTTGTTGTTATCGTATATTCCTTTCTTTGCCATCTCTGATAAACTTCACAAGCGGGTTGAAAGCAAACATCTTCTGTGTGGCTTTTACACTCTCCAAAAATCATATCACATAGGGGCAGCCGCCATTCCACACCTCCGTAAAGAATTTATCCTCGGTCTGTCTATTAATTTTCCCAGGCTTTCCAAGTATATCCGAGGGCTCTGCCAGGTTTAGATCACATTCCAATCATCATTCACATTCCGATGATCCTGGTCCTCCTCCCTCCGTCTTTCTTAGACAAGCCTGTCTTAGCGAGACGCCATTTAAAACTGTGTCATAAAATTTTCCTCCGTTCTCCAGTGTTTACCAATCGTGTCTTTGATCCATAATTCTCTCCACACAGTTCTTAAAATCCTGCTTGTGATTAATAAAATGCAACGATTCTTCTTTCTGGGGTGAAGGGTTATTAATATTCACATAAGGCAAAGAAAAGAAAAGTTATTTCCTCCACCCCCCTTCCGTTTCACTCCAAACATACCAGTCTCTTAATGGTGGTTCATCACTTGATTTATTTGTCCCGCCCGTTGCTCCGGTCCCAGAGATCCATTAATCAGCAGTCTTAACTCCCGAACTTCGCTTGATGTATGTGCTTCAGCTTCTTTCCAATTATATATTTCCAATTATATTTTCGAGCTGAAGCGAACCAGTACGCTGATTGGAGAAAGTGTCAGGAAGAGCGGACTTCACCGAGGGCTTGTGCCAAGTGACCGGGCACCCCCTTCTTTCGATCCGGGGGTGCATTATGGACACCGCTGGCAAGGCAGTCCCCCCCATCTCCTTGGGGGGTCGGGAAGGATGCATACTTCCCATAGCAGCCTCTTAATTACCTCGTGTGGGTCGGAGAGATGTTATTGTCAGCCATCTTCCAATGCGCCACCTGGTGGCCCCCGAAATAGACTGATCTTTCTGACCCTGCATAAGATCCCTAACAGTGAATTTATGGGAGAAGCACGTGTTTGTACAAGAAATGCACATTGAGGGTAAAAGGAATGACAAGTGAGCTAATGTGGGTGTATTCTTATTACCAGCATGTGAACCCTGGTCAGTCAGGGACCCCATCCCCACAGAGGCAGCCCTCTGGGCAAAGTCGCCTGCAGACCTGTGTCAGTAATTGACTAAACAACAACAATGTATTTATATACTGCCCTCATAAAACATCAGGGTGATGTACAGGAATATTAAAACACAGGGACTATGAAAAGCAGTACAGCAGTGAAAGCAGCAATGCATGGGGAGGGGGGCACAACCAACACACCTTGGCATCCAGGGGATGGGCTGGTCCAGCAGTGCACAAGAAGCTTTCACGCATTTACATGGGACGCCTGGAAGAAGGCTGTTGCTGGGAAAGGACTTGGATCCTGGGGTCTCCTATCTCTCTCCAGAGCTGGCTGCAAGACTTGTGCAAGCAGGGCACTTTCTGCCAGCACAATAGCTAAGCCAGCCATAGCTCCAGCCCTGTTACTCAGCACTGTATATTAATAATATACAGGGACGCGAGTGCACTGCGGTCTAAACCACTGAGCCTCTTGGGCTTGCCAATCAGAAGGTTGGCAGTTTCGAATCCCCGCAATGGATGAGCTCCCGTTCTGTCCTAGCTCTGCCACCTAGCAGTTTGAAAGCATGCCAGGGCATGTAGAAAAATAGGTACTGCTGTGGTGGGAAGGCAAATGGCATTTCTGTGCACTCTGGTTTCTGTCACAGTGCTCCATGTGCCAGAAGTGGTTTAGTCCTGCTGGCCGCAGGACACAGAAAGCTGTCTGTGGACAAACGCCGGGTTCCTGGGCCTGAAGCGAGATGAGTGCCACAACCCCTAGTCGCCTTTGACTGGACGGTTAAGTCCAGGGGTCCTTTACCTTTATTATTATTATTATTATTATTATTATTATTATTATTATTATTATTATTATTTGCATATTTTGTGTGCTTTGAAATGGAATAGGATATGATAACT